CAGCAGCTTGGCTCTAAGCTCCACCAGGCAAGAGTCGAGGGTGTTGGTTTACCTCGTCTTCCCAGCACCCAGCACAGTGCCTTGATCATGGCAGTGACCCAGGGAAGTCTTGTTGACTCCTCGACCAACTCCAGAGTGGTCTACTGTCACATTCTTAGTTGATACACTGCCTGGCTATGCTGCCTAGCTACTCCAGATTCACTGAGAAGGAGAAAGCTGAGTGGTGAAGTGGGACACGGGTTTGATTAGTTTTATATATTCGGGCGTCACAGTAAGGTATTGTCTTTATCTAACATTGTATTAAACATGTCTTTTTATCCTGATGCTTTGGCATCTTGGGGCCCTAACTCTTGGAAGCCTGGCTCCTCAAGAGGTCAATTCCTAGAGATAATAATAGCTTTGCCTGTAAACTCACCTTTTATATGTAAATGGAGCCCATCCAGAACCCATCACCTCTATTACCTCCCGTGCTCTGGGACACTATCCCAGGCCAGGTATAAGGTAACTAGGGACATCCCTTATACCCCAGAGTCTGCTGAAACTATTCACATTTTTTTTTAGAGGTTTTTGCTATAGGGCGCGTGTGCTCGCCAGCCAGCCAGAGAGAGACATAGAGACAGAAAGCGAGAAATCCCCCCCCAGGGGGGATGGCCACGCCGCAATCCCTTCTCCTCCATTCTCCTCTCGGGATCTTGGGCATGCACACACATGCACCCGGAGTGATTTAAGCCACTGGGTCCAGGACTCGAACCGTGGTCAACTACATGGGAGTCCAACGACATAGCCATTACGCTAACTGCTGGTCCCGAAACTATTCATATTTGCTAATCCTAAACCTGCTTTTCCTGCCTTGCACGTTCTTTCCTGCAGAAGCCACATTAAAGGCTCTTGTCCAGGGGGCCATCAGGAGGCATAGTGGTCGATTGCAGTTCAAGTCCCAGACCTGTTGGCTTGAAAATCATGCCAGGCGTGTGTCTGTGCCCATCCAAGATCCTGAGAGGAAAATGGAAGAGAAGGGATTGTGGTGTGGCCATCCTCCCTGGGAAGTGATTTCTTGCTTTCCCTCTCACTGTCTCTCTTAGGCGAGCTCACGTACCCTATGGCAAAAACCTAAAAAATAGATAAATAAATAAAAATAAAAGACTCTTGCCCACAGTTCTTTCCTCTCCCTCTTCCTCCTAACCAACTCAGGCCTTCTCCGTGGGAACCTCCTTCTTCGTATGCTCATCTCCCCCACAATGTGGCATGGCGTTCCCCCCTCCTTTTGAGAACTGTGAGTAACAACCTTTTAAATGCACACATCTCCTAATTAACACTTGAATAAGAAGTGATGAAACACTGAGGTAGAAAAGCTGAGTCCTGCCTGAGAGCCCCAGATGGAAAGAGCTATGACAGACACCCGCACATTCCTTATTCCCAGTCCTGAACTCCTGAGAGCACCATGCTGCCTTGCAACACCACCCAGTGCAAAGCAGGACTCTAACAGCTGATTCTTTTCCTCTGCTGAAGGAGAGAGATACCAGCTGTGGTCTGAATGTATGTGTCCTTCCATGTGGAAACCTAGTCAACAACGCAATAGCATTAGGAGGTGGGGCTTTGGGAAGGTGCTCAGGTCAAATAAGACTAGTACCTTTATATAGAGTTGTGGATGGGCCAGCAGGTGGCATGGTGGTTAGGGCATTGGACATCCACATGGTTGACTGCAGTTTGAACCCTGAAGCCAGCAGCTTGAAATTCACACCAGGTGGATGTGCTTACATGCCCAAAATGCCAAGAGGAGAATGGAAAAGAGATTGTGGCATGGCTAACCCCCCTGGAGGATGGTTTCTCACTCTCTCTCTCTCTCTGTGTGTGTGTGTGTCTCAGGCAAGCACACCTGCCCTATAGCAAAAATCTCTCTCTAAAACCAAAAGGCACTGAAAAGACCAGAGCTTGCCCCTCCACCATATGGAGACACAGCAAGAAGGTGCTATCTATAAGCCGGGAAACTGGCCCTCACCAGACACCTAATTTGCCAGTATCTTGATCTTGAACTTCCCAGCCTCCAGAACTGTGAGGAATAAAGTTCTATTGTTATAAGCTGTCTAGTTCATGGTATTCTGTAATAGCAGTTCAAACAGACAAGACACCATCTATCTGCCAAAAAGGAAAGGGGAGCAGGGATGGCTCCATTGCTTAGTGGTTAAGCAAGTTGGATCCCACATGGCTGATCATGCCATTTGAATCTTGGACCAGGCAGCTTGAAAAACACACCAGGTGCATATTCATATGTGCCCAAAGTACTGGCAGGATGGAGAAATGGAGAAGACGGGATTACAGCATATCCACACTCCATTGGGGGGTGCTTTCTCCTCCTTGTCTCTCCAGTGAGTGCATCTGCCCTCTGGCAATATTTTTAAAATAAAGATGGGGGCAGGGGAAGACGTGTGGATGAGATTCAGGATGAGGACAGTCAACTTGAGAATCATTGTAAAGACTGCTCAGATACCCATCAGGGCCTTATGACTCGGGGGCTCAGTTGAGATGGAGCCTGAGAGGCAACAAGTTAGTGCCTGCACGACCTATGAGAGGGAGACTGGAGAGAAGGGAATCCAGGATGCAGAGGTAATGCCAGAACACAGAAGGTCGTGAGGTTGCAAGAGAACATCAGACAACACAAAACACTCTTGCTTGCTAAGTCCAGTCTTGCTTAGAGGTGACAGAGAAGATGGAGCCAGTAAGACCTTTCCAAGGCTAATGAACAGAGGTCTCTGAGTAGCCACCATCATGGGCTCCATATCCTGCAAGGGTGATGCTGATGAGGCCAATGCACAAAGCCCTTTCCTTCATGCACATCTGGAATATGCACTCCCCTACAGAGGCGGGGAACTGGTGCGTGTGTACTTCCCAATATACATGGGGACTTCTGGTGCATCATGCAGACATCTGTTCAGTGCTCTTAAACACCTGCCAGCCTTGGAGTTTCAGATGCATTTCTTAGATGATCATGTTTGGTTTATTTTTTTCTCCCATTGCAAATCATTGAATGACAAAAGCGCAACTCCTTGCCAGGGCTACCGTCTGCTGGCGGTGTCTCCCTGAAGGCTGCTATCTCGGGAACGCATGCTGCGGGGGTCTTTTGGACAGCATGGTTTTGTGTGCTCATTCATTCCACACCTACGCCTTAAGATGATTCTTCTCGGCTGGCCTTACATTTTCACCTAAGGTAGTAGATGGATATTGCAACCTGGTTATAGTTTCCCAATTGATATTAACAAGTGTACATTTTCTCCTGACTCACACCCCTCCCCCATCGCCTTTTCACTTGTCCATCTTCTGGTTCTAAGGAGGAGAATTGTAAAAGAAAACATTACCCATGTAATTTACAACTTACTCACTTCCTTCTCCCACCTTTTTAAAGGACAAGGAGAAGCTTTGGTCTCCAGGACTTCTGCTTCATCTACCAGCTGAAGCATCCCTTTCACGCCTATGCCCTCCTCCCCTTCCTACTTGGCCTCAGCCAGTCCTTGCCTCCTCCCACCTGGACTATTTCATCTTTCCACATGGTCCTACGATCGTCAGTGTTATCTCATAATCCGTCATCCACGCTGCAACAAGAAGTATTGTTCTAAAACCTCAAACTGGGTCATGCTACTTGTCTGCTTTACCCTGCAGCAACTTTTTGTCAGCTCCTAGATGTACCCTGTATCCTTAAGATGCTTTTCACCTCTTGCCCTCCAACATTCTCTCCCAACACTCCACGTGGTTTCAAGCCATTCCACTGATGCACACGACTCTTCTACCTTCCCCAAATATCTTTTCCCTCCTTTGCACCTGGCAAACTCTAGTCACTTGCTAGGTGCAAACAGGGCCTAGCTTATTCTTGGAACATCTCGGATCCTCGTAAGCTGAACAGATCACTTCATCTGAGGTTCCTCCACTATCCCTGACATGTGCCCTTGAGTGTCTCTAATGTCTGATGTCTTCCCTGCTTGATGGATGGACCCTTCCCTTCTATAAACGCCAGTGGGAGTCCAGTGTTTGGTTTAAAGTAGACTCTACTTTTCTCTTTTAAAAAATATTTATTTAATTTTATTATTATTATTTTAATATGCTATAGGGCATGTGCACTCACCAGATTTTGAACCGTGATTGACCATGTGGGAGTACAACACCTCAACCACAGTGCCACCTGCTGGCCCCGAGAGTAGACTCTTTTAAGATACATAAAATGGAAAAGATAAGCTCAAGGGGTTAGGCTGACTGGTGGCTGCACTAAGAGGTGGAGGATTAGAACATCGTTCCCACCGCCCACTCCAGCACGCCTCAGCGCGGTGTGAGAACCACCTTCCGCACAACCATCTGGATAGGGTAGGTACTACTCACTATGTTTATTTTGAGGGTCATTCCAATTTGACAAACATTTATGGGCTACTCGTCTGTGCCAGACATTCTTCTGGGCACTGAAGATACCCAAATTAATCCAAAAGTACACCTTCAATCAATAAGCCCTCAACTGAGCAGTGGAGACCAGCAAGGGAGATCACTAATGTGAGGTGACAGCTACTACACCAGAACATACTATGGCAAATGTTCTCAACCATGACTGTACATCCAAATCTAGGGAGGTTTTTTGGTTTGTGTGAGTGCGTGCGTGTGTGTGTGTGTGTGTGTGTGTGTGTTTGAGAGATTTTTGTCACAGGGAGCATGTACTCACCAGAGAGACAGAGAGAGACAGAGAAAGAAAGTGAGAAATTGCCCCCTAGGAGGATGGCCACACTACAATCATATTTATTATTTTTAATTTTTAAAGTTTTCTCTAGGGCATGCACACTCACCAAAGAGAGACAGAGAAAGAGGGAAAGTGAGTAAGCAAGCCACCAGGTCCAGAACTTGAACCATGGTCAATCACCACTGCCAGTCACATGGGAGTGCAGTACCTTTCCCACACACCACTTGCTGGCCCCAAAAATGAGTTTTAGTACCTTTTTATAAGTTTATTGGTCACTTGTAAATTCTTTAGAAGTGGCTGCTTATGATTTTTGCCAATGTTTCTATTGAGTGGTATGCTTTTTTCATATGGATTTGTGAGAGTTCTTTATATATTCTGGATAAGAATTTTTGTGAGATAGCTATACTGCAAATATCTTCTCCCATCTTATAGGTCACCTCTGGCTCTCTTGATGGTGAAATTAGATGAACAGATGCTCTTGACTTTAATGTATTTTATCCAGTATGATTGTATCCCAATGCAATAAGTATTGTACTTAATGTAATGTGTCCAATTTATCATATTTTTTTCCCCTTTAAGGCTATAACTTTTGGGCCCTTTTAAAAAAATCATTGCCTACTTCAAGGTCATGAAAATGTCCTGTTGTTTTTTTTTTTTTTATATATATATACTCTAAATTTGTATTTCCTTATGTTTTCTATTTAGATATGAAATCCATCAGGAATGGTTTCTTGTGTTTGTGTGTGAGATAAGAATGTTTCATTTTCCCTCATGTGGAGATCCAGTGGACCTAGTGCCATATATTGAAAAGATCACACTTCCCCACTGCACTTCATCAAAATCTTTGCTGTATTTCAGGAGACTGTATATATGTGAGTCTGTTAGGGGCTCTCTATTCTGTTCCATTGGTCTCCTCATCTGTCGCTACATTAATACCACACTATCTTAACTGCTACAGATATCAATAGATCTTAATACTGGTAGTGTAAGTCCTCCAGACTTTTTTTTTTTTTAAACTTTCTCTCTAAATTAGAAACAAGGTGAGGTTATCCACTATCATCATGTCTACTCAACATTACCCTGGCAGGAGACCAGCAGTTAGTGATCAGACCCGGTGACTTAAACTCACGACCGTGGTTCAAGTCCTGGACCCAGTGACTTAAACTCACGCTGAGGAGAAGGGATTGCGGTGTGGTCCTCTCCCCTAGGGGGTGATTTCTCACTTTCTATCTCTCTGTCTCTCTCTGTCTGTCTGGCAAGTGCATGCACCCTATAGCAAAAACCTCTCCAAAAAAGAAAAAAAAATTACCCTGGCAGTTTGAGGCCACATGATAAGGCAAGGAGGACAAATGATGAGGCTAGGAAAGGAAACTGTCAGTATTTCCAGACAGCATGATTGCAAATAAATTTAGCAAGGCTACCAGATACAGGGTCAAAAGATGAAAATCCACGGTCTTTTGATATATTAACAACATACAGAAGATAACAGTTTCTAAATATTGACATTTAGCGTGGCATCAAAAACTGTCAACCAGACGTGCAAACCTCTAGACTGCAAATTA